GTTTAAGTGATGTCTGAAAATGTACTTAATCTGCCATTACTCTTAAACGATAGTATTGCCGTGTTCACAACTCTAGGTTCAACTTTGTTGTCCTTTACTCCTTTGAAAATATTTTATCGTCTTCTGGCTTCTAGTACTGTTGATGAAGACTCTGGTGTCATATTCTTATTCCTTGTTTTCTGGTACTAGGATTTTTTTGTCTTGATCCTTGATGTTCTGAAGTTTTACTAAAATGTGAAACTAGTATAGATTTTTTTGTTTTTTGTTCACCGTGCTTAGGATGTGCTAAGAGTTTTCCCAGTCTAAGGATTTATGGATTTTTTTTTTCATTTCTGGAAAGTCCTCAGCCATGACCTCTTTAGCAATTCTCTCCATCACTCTTTCTATGTATCTGTTCCGGATACATCTGTTTCTATTCTCCTCGTGTCTAATTTTTTTCTTTCATATTTTCCACCTCTCGATCTCTTAGTCATATGTTCTTGGAGATTTCCTCAACTCGAAACTTCTAATTCATTATGTCTCTCTCCAGCTCTATTCAGTTAAGATATTCAGCTCACCTTTTCAGTTTTTTATTATCTGTAATTTTAATTTCCCATGTTTGTAATGTATTCTGTCATCTGTCCTACTCTTATTTCACGACCTCCTTTTGTTGTTTTGTGGTTGCGGTTTCTTTGAGGACCTTAAAGATACCTACTTTAAAGGCTTTTCAGATTGCTCTAAAACTTTGTTTTCTCAGCTATCAGTTCTTCCACTTGCCAAGTGTGTTGGCTTCCTCAGTGCTCTGTGATTCTTGGTTGTGAGGTTATCTGGAGGTTCTGCAAAACCCAAGGCCATCTGCTAGTGGCCTCAGCTTGGTCTGTATCTGGCTGGGCTCCAGACCAGGGTTTTCTCAGAAGTATCCACTGTGGGCCTCCAACCTCATGTGGATGACACATTTCTGGGACAGTCCCTTGAAGCCTCGTGGCTCTGCTGAGGGCCCAACCACAGGTATGTGGCTTCGGTTTTTGCCACGACCTTGAAGTGTGGACAGAGCTGCTCTGGTTTATCATCACAACTGGCACCACAGATCCTGACACCAGCCAGGCTTAGGTCCCAGCCTGGCTTAGCATTTACACCATGGCCCACACCCTACAGCCCTGCTCTCTTCCCAGCCCCTGGGGACTGCCAGCTTCAGCCCCTTCTCTCCCTGCGGCCTCCTGTCTTCTTTCTTTTACGGAGTAGTCTCCGTTTCTTGTCTACAGACGCGTCCCCCTCATTAATTTTTAACAATCTCACGTCTACGTGTCTGGAGCAGAAGGAGATGGTTTCCACCGTCTTCAACCAGAAGCAATGGCGACTTCTCCACATGTCATACAGCTGCTATTAATGACATGTGGTTCCACAAGCAGATCTGTAGAAAGGCACACACCCAGAGCTATATGTTTTTCCTGTACTTGAATTAACAACTACTCACATCAAGATTGTTTGGACCTGCTGGTGACCAGGGTCTGGCTCAGCCTGGGGCAACAGGATAAAGGTGAAAGCAACGTGTAATTTTTATTGAGAGTCAAGTTTGAAGCATGCATGCATATTTATTAATTTTATTAATTTTATGTAACAGATAGGTAGACAGACAGACAGATAGGGCGCTTACTGTGTGCCAGACATAGGGCGTTTGTTTGTAAGGGCCTTACAGGCATGAACTAATTGAATGCTTCTTAACAATCCCAGAACACAGATACTATTTTTATAATCCCCATTTTACAGATAGGAAAACTGAGGTCCAAAGATGAGTGAGCCATGACTGAGATGCAGAGTCCTATGCTCTGAGCCACTCCCCTATGCTGTGTGTGTGTGTGACACCAGCTTGCACATGGGAGTGGGGGCTAGGAAGTCAAACTCTGGCTGTGGTATGACTTTCCACAACTAGGCGTGGAATGAGGAAGAGGGACAGAGGAGTGGCAGACTCAGGGATCTGGCCCACTGACACAGCCTCCCGCCCCAGACCAGCTCTGCCCACTTCTTCTCTGTCTGCTCATGTGGCTGTGGGGCTGACCTAGGTCTGGCTCAGACAACAGCAGCTGAGGGTACCAGGGAGGCCTAGCTGCAGCAGGGGCACTGGGTTCTGTTCTCTCCCATCCTCTCCCAGCCCAGTCCCAGCAACAGGAAAAATCTGTTCACTGCAGACCGAAGGGCTAACACACCACTCCATAGTTCCACTTCATGTCCAGGGAACAGAGAGATGGAAAAAGACACAGGAGTAAGGACTGAGGGGAGAACAAAAAATACAGAGAAACACAGAAATACGGAGTCTAGACAGAAAGGTGCAAAGACAGAAACAGACGCAGATGCTGGGAGACAGAGAAACGTATGTTTCAGACACCTGGAGGGTGTCTGAGATGGGAGCTGCTGGGAGATGGGGTGGCGATGAGTCAGAACTGATGTGTGTGGAGGGGTGGCAGTACAGGGAGCCAAGCCCCTGAGGCCCTGAGGGGCTTGGGGTCCTTGGGGATTCTGGAACAGAAGGGCCTAGAGCCAGGGGTTCCCGACCTACCGGTGCGGCCCTTCATCGGAGAGTGGGGCTGGGGCTGGAGTAGGTGTGTGGAAGCGTTTCCAGCCTCCTCCCTGGGCTTCTGACCTGGTGTCTGTGGAGCTGGGGACAAATGCCCTGCCTCTCAGTGTCCTCCTCAACAGCACCAGCTGGTCCAACCCCCCACCCTGGGCCAGTGTCAGGTTCCGGGCTGTTCCCTGGGGGGAACTTTGATCTGGAAAGAATGAGAGTGACCGAGCTGGCTGCTGCCCAGGGCCGAGCAGTGTCACTGAGACCTGGCCTGGGCTGTCCCTGTCACCTTCCTGCCCACTGGGACACCAGGCAGTCCCTCCAGGGCTCAGGAGACACAGAAGGGATCTTTCCTGCTTTCTTTCCCCGCTGGTTCTCTTCATCTCCATTTGCTGTTCAATCACTAGTTCCTGCGCTCACGCATCCAGTGCCCCTCGCCGTCACTCACTCATTCAACAGGACTTGGCTGTGGAGCTGCGGGCTGGGCGATGGGGCAGAGGGCTGAGTGAGGTGGGGCCCTGACCTTCCAGGAGCCCCAAACCGAGATCACTGCTCAAGAGAGACACAAGCCACACATTGGAGGAGGGAGCCAGGGCGGGAGAGGAGGGATGTATTCCAGTGGGCAGTGTGGGGCAGGGAGGAGAGACGGGGAGTGCTGCAGGCTTCCCAGAGGAGGTGGCATTTTAACTGGGCTCTGAAGGTCTAAAGAAGGAGTGGGGAGGTTGTCAGACAGGATGACAAGTGGAAAGGATGCTTCAGACAGCGGGACCAGTGCAGCCACAATGGCAGAAATGTGAGAGTTTGTGCATTTTGCTGGAAGGGCCTTGAATGGCACCCTAAGCCATTCACTTGTTGGCGGAGCAGATCCATGGGCCAGAGGGACCGTTTTGTTAGAGGAAGGAGACTCTGGGGGCTTCCAAGGGAGGCGGCAGCCTGGTGGGCCCTCAGGTTGGCCTCCGCACTCCAGGCCTTCCCAAGGATGGCTCGTGCCCTTGTACACCTCCCTTATCCGCCCCAGCCCCAAGGAGTCTCCAGGACACTTCTGAGGAAGCCCAGCTTGTCTGTGGACTGCAAAGGACTCCAGAGGGGCCCTGGCCCAGGTCCTAGCCCAGCCTCCTGCCGTGGCCTGGCCTCCCCAGGCCCCCTGCTCACTCTGAGTGACATGGCCTTTTGCTGGGCTGAAAGCGGACCCTGCCCAGCCTGGGGAAGGCCCAGTGAGCTCTAGCCCTGGAGCTCTGGCTCCCCTTCTCCTGGAGGCCACTGAGCCAGGCCCTATAAATAGCCCGGGCAGGGGGAGGGGGAGGGGAGCGGGCCAGGCAGGGCTGGAGGGGGCAGGCTTTGGGTGGGCATTCGTGGAGGCGCGGGGAGAAGGGAGAAAAAGCCCAGAGTTCGAGCGAGGCCCCGTCCTGTCCCTGACAAAGACGGCTCGCCCCTCTGGGTCTCAGGGTCCTCTGGGCCGGGGCAGCCAGGCTGGCAGAGCACAGAGCGCGCACAGGCAGGGACTGTTGTTCTAAGAGGTCAGGAGAGACCCCTCCTCCTTCCTGGGTGGCTTTTCAGAGGCACAAGGGGCAGGATATTAGCTGTGAGGGGCCCCAGGCTGGGCCTGTCCTGCCCCAGGGACCACTTCCCCAGTCCCCGGTGGCACAAGGGGCAGGATATTAGCTGTGAGGGGCCCCAGGCTGGGCCTGTCCTGCCCCAGGGACCACTTCCCCAGTCCCCGGTGGCACAGGACCAGCTATGGTGAGGTGCCGGCTCTTCCAGCACCTCGTTTTCCCCTCTTGGCGCTGCAGATCCCAGGGTGGGGGCAGGGAGCTGGGGTGAGTCAGCGGAGACCTTTCCGGGCCCTGAGGGGGAGGCTCCTGGAAATGGAAAATGTGAGCCCACAGCCTTATCTGGGCTGGAAGCAGCTGTCTCCACCCCACACTCTCTGCAGCCCCTGCCTTTGCCGGAAGAGGCAGGCGTCTCCACCCAGGCTTGTGTGCTGTTTTTTCTTTTCTCACTGTGTAGCCTGGCTTTCAACAGAGACCCGTGGGAGATGCTCCTCCGCTGGGACCAAGAGGGCACCGTGTTGGTCCAGGAGGGCGGGAAGCTCCACCCTTTTACCCCCTTCCCCCATCAAGACCACCCTTAGAATCTTATATGCAAGTCTCTGCAGAGCACCCAGGATCCATACCTTCTAGAGACAGACTTCCAGGTCTGGTTAAAGAAGCAGAGAGAAATAGGGCACGTGACACGTGTGATCAAACTCACACGATATACACACAAACATCTGATATACGTGAGCATATGTAGACACTCGACCTACACATACAGGCATGTGCGCATCCTGTGTTGACACATGTACCGCAAGCATGCATACATGTGTGTCTAGAAACACAGTCACCACTTATGAGCAAATGCATAAAAATCCCTCCTAGCACCACGGGTGCTTGAAGATGTGCCCACACCACATACACGTGCAGGTGAGTGTGCAGGTACTGTAGACTCTGTACCTTCCACATCTTCCCTCTACACCAACACACCCACACAGGTGTTGTACACGCAAGCCTGATACGTGCACAGACGCATCCTCAGATACACGGGAGAAAGAGGAACATTACAAATTTACACGTGTGTCCGGCAGCGTGTCCCTGGGATGGAGTTTAAAGGAGGGTTCGGTAGCGGGGAGTTGGAGTGACCCAGGGGGCAGAGGTCTCTTCTGTCCTCCCTCCCAGGGACCTCAGTTTCCAGGATCGGCCCCAGTGGCTCCGATTCAGGCAGGCAGAGCTGCGGGGCAGGGGGCAGAGCCTCTGTGCCCCTCTCCTGGGTCCTGGCTGGAGATGAGGCCCGGGGCCCCCAAGAATGGCCCACCCCGGGCTCCTGCACAGCCTGTACCACACTCCTGCTTCCCTGCTTAGCGCTCCCCTTGGCTCCTGAACCCAGCAACCCGTCAGGAAAAGATAAACGCAGGCCCTGTGTCCACACCCCTATGGGTCTCATAACAAGGCAATGGTTTCCAGGGCAGAGGCTGGATTTCAGGATTTGGGAGGAGGAGCCGGGATGGTATGCTTGCCAGGAGGGAGGGGTCCAGTCCTGGAGTGTATTTCTCTGTCGGGTCCTTGTTAGCCTACTCCCTGTGGGTGCCTGCAGCTGGGGACCCTGAGGAGTGTGGTGCGGCTGCCTTCACACACCTTCCCACTTACAAAGCCAGACTGCCAGGCCCATTAGCCCGTCCCAGCAGGCTGAGGGCTACATGGAGGCCATGGCAGGGCCAGTCGGGGTCTGACAGATAACGGGTCTGGCCTGCCCCATGACTTTGCAACCTGAGCCCTTCCTGGCAGAGGGGCTTGGAGGGGCGAGGTGACCAGTGAGGTCGGCAGCTGCCTTTGACTCAGTGCAAAGGCTGATGTGACCTTGGAGACAGGCCCTGTGTAGTACCTGTGAGCCCCCTCTAATGCCTCCTCTCTGTGACCCATCTCACTGAGTCCATCCATCCACTAGTCCTGTTGGTTCCACTGGCTCTCCAATGAGGCCCCTTTCCCAGGCATTCAATCACACAGTGTTTCTGGAGTACTTTCTAAAGCCAGTTGCCTCCCCAGTTGTGGGAATGGATGCACAGCAGAGACAGACCCTGCTCTCTGAGGATGGGCTCCAACACGTGCACGCAAGTGTATGTACGTACCTCACCCATGCACGGGGACCAGGGTGCAGAGGGTGAGGAGCGGTCCCAGGCAGGTGGGCCCAGGACGGCAGAGGACTGCACCAGCCCACTTCTTAAGTCCTTTCCCCTCCCCGTAAGCCCTATGTGTGTTCTCAGAACGTCAGGAGTCTGGGGAGCGGATGGGACCTTCAGGGCTGAGGGCTGGAGGCGGGTGGGTATATGGAGAGGGGCTGGACTGGAGGTGGAGGAGGGGAAGTCATCAGTATGGGTGTGTGTAGGGGGGGTGACACCACCCAGAAAGTGTCTGCGGGTGAAAGGGGGACAGGCCCAGCTCAGAGCCCCAGGGACCACAGTTAAGGGATGAATGAAAGCACAGTCACTCAGGAGGGTCACCGGGGAGGAGAAGCGGAGGAGGCAGGAGGGAAGGCAGGAGGGATGGTCCTCAGGGGCTCCTGCCAGAGGGCCATAAGGGTGGTTCTGGAGAGCTCCGAGGAGCCATTCCAGGGGATCGGAGCCTCTGGGCAACCTGGGAACAGGAGGCACTGCCCAGACTTGGCTGGATTGGACTGTTGCCTCCCAGGGGTGCTGGGAACAGAGCCAGGGCCCTGGGTTCCAGTCCTGTCTTTGCATCCCTTGCTGTGTGACCTGGGGCCTGCCCCTGTCCCTCCTGGGGCCTCAGTTTCCCCACTTAGGTCCCTGGCTTCATGGTTTGGGCTTGCCTGGGATTTGATTTCAGGAGGTGAGTGGCAGGGGACACAGGAAGGCTCGTCCCGAATCCTGCCCCCAGCCCAGCACCAGAGCAGATCAAGGGACCAGCAGACAGTGGATGGGTCAGAACCAGGGGAGGGGGAGCTGGAAGGGCAGGTGCCAGAGACCCCAGGACTTGGCAGGAGGTCGTCCTTGCTAGCCTGCTGACATCAGGGCTGGTGAATGTGGAGGGAGGTCAGCTGGGTCCATCAGCCCTCACCTCCCCCCCCGCCGCCCCAGTCTGGTACTGGGCAGGAGCTGAGCCGGCGGAGGGTGAGAAGAGGGGCCTTGAGGGGGCAGCAGAGAGGAGCCCCTGGGGCCTGGGATGAGCATCGGCCTCTGAGCCAAACTGGCAGGGAGCCAGCCCTTGGGTGGCACTGGTCTTCAGTGCCCCCCTCCCCGCCCCAGAATCGGCGCCTCCTCCCTCCCTTCTCCTCTCCCTGACCCTCTGCCCCTCTTCCTCCCACTCCTGGTTCATCTCTCCTCTCCTAGGCTCATCTCCAGCTACTGACTCAGTGGTCTTACTGCCGAGGGAGAGGGGCCAAAGGAGATGGTTTGCTTCTTGTACTGTCTGCCCAGAACCCACCGTGAGCCCCATCAGGAGAGGGGCCAAGGGAGATGGTTTGCTTCTTGTACTGTCTGCCCAGAACCCACCGTGAGCCCCATCTCTGCCCTTGACAGAGTTCCTACTGCAGCCGCAGATGGAGCCCTGCCCAGCCCCCGAGCAGCCCTACCCAGATGTTGTCACAGTGGATCAGGAGATAACCCAGCTGAGGTGGGAGAGTGTGGATGGATCCTGGGCAGCCAGGCTCTAGATTCTATCGCCCATTAGGGGTCCCACTCTAGAGACCTGGCCAGCCTTTCTTCTCCTGGAGGCTGGGAGAGAAGGCTGGACCCCTGCCCCCCACCACCACCACCCTCACCTATGCTGCCGGTCCAGGCACAGCCCCAGATGCACATCCACTGTAGGGCCAGGGACCAAGCTGTCCAGCCCCTCCCAGACTTCCCCACCTGGTCCTTCCTCAGGTCCTGCAAAAGAAGAGGCTGGGCTTTTCTGGCTGAGAGCTGGGTCTCTGAACTCCAGGCTCCTGGGCTCAGACCTGGAGGGGCTCTGAGTGTTACTTGGGGCAGAAGCTGCAGCAGCAGCCTCTCTCCTAGTCTCTATCAAAGATTCTACCCCGAGAAAGAATGCAGGGAGCAATCTGGCTCACCCTGTCCACACAGCTACTTGGAACACACACACACACACACACACACACACACACACACACAACATGAACGCCTTTTGGCACTTGACTTTCTCATGAAATAATTGCTGGAAGGCTCCTTGGATTAGGTAACCCAGCGTTCCTTCCTGTCCCCACGGTGGAGGGGGGAAAGGGGGAACCAGCGTTCAGCATCTGTTAGGCTGATCCAGTTCCTTTGGGGCAGAGCAGGCCAGTCCAGGAGGTCTGTGGCTGCAAAAATCTTTGGAAGCCTAGTGTGATGGGAACAAGTCTTTCGGACCTCTCGTTCTCCAGTCATCTGGCTGTGCCTGCCAGCCACCAGGCCTCCTCCAGGTGGGCCATGCCTGGGAAGGAGAAGGCTAATCAGGAAAGATTTGTTTTGCACAAAGAAGGATGGGATGTTCCCATTTTTATTTTAAATCAATTTTACAATATATTTGGGAACGTACAGCATCTTTGCCCATCATCCTATCATTCTGAAGCAACAGCTGTTTTCACTCCTTCCTTTCTTGGGATGGTTGGGGGATGGGGGATATGGAAGGGAGGAATATCTGGGTTCAGGCCTGAAAGGAGTGTTGAGAGGGAGTCGAGGTGGGAGCCCCGGCCTGTGGATAGAGGCCAGGGACCAAGGCTCTGATGGGAGGGCGTGGTTAATTCCAAGGTCGCCGATCCTAGGATTTGGAGATTGGGCCCTAAGCATGCTCTCTCCTCTGTCTCTAACCTCAGTCACTCATGGATCCCCTAGCAGGGGCCCCTCAGTGAGCCCTGAGCCCCTATGACCACCAGCAATAAGGATGCAAAGATCTTGCTACACAGAGTGGGTCTGGGAGGGGAGAGCACATAATTGCAGAGTCAGGGAGGGACCTCACCACCTGTCTCCTCCCTTAGGTCTTATAACAGGTGCAAGAAATTCCAGGCAAAGATCCCACAGGTGAGCATGTGTTTGTGAGGGCCGTGTGCACGGCGTAGAGTGGGCAGTGACGGGCACAGGGTGAGGGTCGGGGTTCTGGGAATTACTGCTGTGGCTCTCAGGTCTCCCTGAGCAGTGAGGGGGTCCCTACCCCCAGTAGGACCTGGGCCCTGCGAGTGAGAGCCCCGATGGAACGCATAACCCACGTCCGCGGTCTCCGAGGTCAAGTCCACTTGGGGATCGAGGCCTTCTTCAGGTGGCCCGCAGCCCCTCCCCCAGGCCGCACGCCGCTCCTCCAGGGTCAAGGGGGGCTCGGCCTCCGCACTCCCTGTGCAGCTCCTCACCGCGGAAGAGGAGAGGCGGAGTGAGCTCTCCTCCTCCGGCGCCACTGGGGAACCCCCCTCCCCCACTTCACTGCATCCCTCGGGTCGACTGGACAGGGGCTGTCCCCCCGAGCCGCCTGGCCCCGCCCCCGCGGCCCCGCCCCCGCGCGGCGCCCAGTCCCCCGGCTCGCGGGGCCCGCCCCGCCCCCTTCCCGCCCCTCCCACCAACCCTCGGGCGAACCCGGCTGCGGGCGTCCAGTTGCTGCCCGGAGCTGCGGAGGTCGACTGCTCGCCCGGCTAGGCCCGATCTCCCTCACACGTAAGCGCTCTGCCCCGCCATGGAGCCGGCCCCCGACGCCGAGGAGGCGCGCACGGTGCGCGAGGCGCTGGGCCGCTACGAGGCGGCGCTGGAGGGCGCAGTGCGCGCGCTGCACGAGGACATGCAGGGGCTGCAGCGCGGCGTGGAGCAGCGCGTGGCCGAGGCGCTGCACCTGGCCGGACCGCTGGCGCGCACGGTGACCGAGCTGCAGCGCGACAACCAGCGGCTGCAGGCGCAGCTCGAGCGCTTGACGCGCCAGGTGGAGGCGCTGGGCTTGACGACCGGGCTGGCCCCCGCGCCCGGCACGCCCAGCCCTCCGCCCGTGCCTGGCGTCCCGGACCGCGCGCCCCGTCTGGGCACCGCACGCTTTGCCAGCCACGCCACCTTCTCGCTGTCCGGCCGAGGCCAGGTGAGCCTCGGGGAGCGCCGGCGCCTGTGCGCGTGCGCCAGGGGAGGAGGGCTCCGCGACCCCCGCCGCGCCTATAGGTCCCGAGTGCGTGCGCCTGCGGGACTGGGCGCTGCCCTGCCACCCGCCGCTGCGACTCCATCGTGGGGGTCCGGCCACCATCCTGCGAAGCACCGGCTTAGCCTGCCCGCTGCACCTGTCTTGGGCCCCCTCCCTTCTTTGCAGCCGGGCCCTGTTCGCCCGGAGTTCTGTCCCCCTCTCTCTGCTGTCCCGTGGCACTAAGGGCTTGGGCGCTGTTTAACACCGCCCGGGGCCCGGCCGGTGTGTTGGGGTGGTCAGCAACCCACCCCACCCCCCACTCCCACACCTCCATTGACGCGGCCCCTGCGATGCTGCTTCACTGAGGCCTGACGGTTCAGGTTATTGATTAACCCAGATTGAGAACTCAAGCCCGGGTGTGTGTTGGGGGCAGGAGGACGCCGTCTGCTGGGGCGCAGCCGGGGCAGCGGCGTTTGGGACCTCGCAGGGGGTAAATCCTTACCTTGAAGGGAGAGACGGGGTGGCGGTGGGGGCCAGGGGGAACCAGTCGTGAGCAGTCTAGATTTCCGGGGTCAATGACCGGCCAGAGGCCCACACGGCGTGGGTGTGGGGCGGAGGCCTCTCCCCTGAGCCTGGGGCCTCCTGGAGCGGCGGGTAAGAAGGTTCCCGTGGTGTGTGCAGTGGCCCTTAGGTGGGATTTCCCACCCTGCCAGGCGTGTGCTCCGGGGTTGGGGTGCCAGGGTCTGGGTAGTGTGCACCTGCAGTCCCTCCTTGGTTCAATCCATCACACCTTCAGGTCTCTTGTGTGGGTTGGGCTGCACCTCCAGGGGCCAGGAGGAGGGGGATCAGATTAGCCTCTGCCCCTGGAGGTCCCAGCCAGGGTGGGCGATGGCCCCAGACCGAGCAGTACCGACATCGCGGGCAGCCAGAGCAGATGTTCTGCTCCAAACACAATTGTCCCGTCCCGGTGGGTGTCTCAGGCTGGCTTTCTGCTGGAGGCCAAGGACCTGCTGCTGCTTGTGCAGGGGGCGGTGTGTGGGGCTGTGCCTGCCGCCTCAGAGAGGTTGGAAGGACTCACCGACCGGAGGGGAGCCTGGTGGGTATGAGAGCAGAGGGAGGAGTTGTGAAGGCCCCTGGATGCTGGGCCGGGGAGTTGGGCTCTGCCTTGGGGGGCTGGGGTGAGAGGTTCTTAAACATGCTGGTGGCAGAGCTCCTGGGTGTCCCGGTGCTCCGTGTGAAGTGGCTAGAAATGGATCCACTTAATTCTGTCCTATAAGCATGACCACTGTTTGGCCATGGTATAAGATCGCCACTGTGAGCTCACACGCACCTAATAAACTGTGTCATCGGCTGCTTCTGAGATTTTATTTTAACACACATTTGCTACTTGTCTGCTCGTGGAAGCAGCTGTCCAAGTTTTCGAAAAATGCTTTCAGAGTCATGTAAATAGGTACATGAATTCACGCAAATATGTGAGAGGAATCTCTCCAGTCATCTAAGTTTTTTCAGTGGGGAATTAGTCACGTGGGGCGGGCTAGTCCTCTTGGCCATGGAGCTGGTGGGCGCGGGGCACCAGGCAGGGGAGGGACGGGGTCCTCCTTGTATCCAGCAAGGTCCCTCATGGATGGATGGCAGGTTGGAGGGTGGCTGGAGACAGGATAACTTAAATGTGGTGGTCCAAGGAGAGGACAGCCAGAGCTTGGGGAGCCCTGCTGGGGGACTCCTGAGTCACACATCTGGTGGAGACGCTGGGTTCCATTTGGGTTGTGCTGAGGGTGTGAGGCTGTGGGACATCCAGGCGAAGGTGTCCCAGAGCAGGCGGAGTCACAGATCCGGTCGAGGCCGGAGGTCAGGGGGACATCGGGGCAGAACTGGTGGTTGAAGCCCTAGAATGGGTGAGGTCTTCAGGGCAGCCATGCAGAAGGAGAGGGTGAGGCCAGAGCCCTGGGCAGAGTCCAGGGAGCTGCCAGGGGGCTGGGAGGCCCTGGAAAGCCCATTCTTAGACATGGAGAGAGGGAAGTCCTTCTGGAAGAAGAGGTTGGGGGTCAGCAGGGATGCTGCCCCTCGTTGAGGGATGAGGATGGAGACACAGTTGAGGAGTAGGTTCTGGACTTCAAAAAAGCCTGAAAGGGGCTTCCCTGGTGGCGCAGTGGTTGAGAGTCCGCCTGCAGATGCAGGGGACGCGGGTTCATGCCCCGGTCCGGGAGGATCCCACATGCCGCGGAGCCTGCGCGTCCGGAGCCTGTGCTCCGCAACGGGAGAGGCCACAACAGTGAGAGGCCCGCGTACCGCAAAAAAAAAAAAAAAAAAGCGAAGGGAGGTAGAACAGCCAGCAGAGTTGGGCGCTGCGGGTAGAGGATGGTCGAGGCCTCCAGTGGGATCAGAGGCTCCCTGGGCCCGAGGCAGCTTCTCCCTGCCCTACCAGAGGCGCTGCTCCCCACTCCTCTTGCAGCCCACCTCTCTCTCGCCCACCCGGGCTCCGAGCCAGTTTCTGGCAGGGAGGGTGCTGTGCAGAGTCATCCACACGTGCTTGTTCATGGGCTGTTACTGGCAGCTTGTGAGCGGACACTTGGTCGTGAACAAGGAATCGGGGCTCCAGGGTGAGACTGGAAAGTGTCAGCTGGGCGCCGGGGCTGTCTGGCCTCTCATACTCCCATATTCCCACGTGTGTGTTGCCGGGGGTCGGGGGGGGGCAGGGTGGTCTGGGTAGGAGGGTCTCATCCGCGCACGAGAGCCAGTGGCGGCAGCCGTCAGGCAGTGCGGAGGCCGCTGCCCCTCTGTAACAGGCAATGAAACGTAGAGACCCTTGGTTGGGACCCTTTGCTTCCTGCGGTTTCAAACCAGGGACTGCAGGGGTGGGAGGTGGGTCATATTCAGCATATACTTATGCCCTGAACTCAATGCAGGGTTGATCTAGTAATCCAGTTCTGAGCGCACAAACCTTGACCTTGCTGGGTAGTGAGTAGCCAGGGAGGCTCTGGGAGGAGGCAGAGGGCAGGGCAGTAGGGTGGGAATAATCAGGAGGACTTCCTGTAGGAAGCCTGAGACCCTGCAGCAAATGGGAGCTGCTTTGGGCACAGTTGCTGTGAGGCCTTAGGGACATCTCCCAGCTGGACCTCAGGCTCCTTGCATCCAAGGGGGACTGGCCCATCCCTGTCTGGCCCCTGTGCCGAGTGGGCTGCGTAGTTATAACAGTGACATCAACCCGATCGGTTCGTAAGAGTGTCCACGGAGCCACGGCTGTGGTCCGGCTAGTGGAGGGTAGCCTGAGGCCAGGCCTGGCCCGGGAGGCTGTGCCAGGGTTGGTCCCTGGAAATGTCCTCAGCTGAGCTGGAGCCACCGGGTCCCCACGTGAGACAGCCAGGAGCAGCATCGAGGTCCGGCGTGAAAGAAACCAGACTTGCCTTATCTGCCTTCCTTTCCCAGACACACTGTGTGATAAGAGAGTTAAATGCTTTGGGTAGAAGTTTGAATTGAGTCTTTAAAACTGTGGTGTGAGAGAGGAGGACGGAGCAGCCGTGTTAGGGGCTCAGGATGGGGGTTCTGGCGGCTTGTGGGCTGTGCTAGGCACGCAGACGTGCTCCCCTGCCCAGGCGCATGAGCCCACGTGGGGTCAGGCAGCCCCAAGAGTGCCTGAACTATTATTCCCGGCCTCACAACAGTGTTTAAACACTTCCCCAGGGAGAGGGTCCCTGAAATAAGACTCAGCACCCCCCACCTCTCCCCCGAACATTCCCAGGCCTGGGCTTCCTCACAGGCAGCCTCCCCCTTCTTCAAACAAAGCCCAGATCTTGGGAGTGCGAGAGCCAGCTACCCAGGACCCGTCTCATCCCCAGGGCTCTCCAGTGACTTCTACTCTGACCCCAGCACACAGAACCCACCCCCTTCCCTTCCCTGTGGCTGAATCAGGCTGCCCCCACCAAAGGAAGACCACTGGGGGAGCAGGCATGCTGGGGGCCCTGTGGGTGGGCTCAGGGACTCAGATCCTGCTGGAGCACTTACCCCGCTCTCCCCCTCCCCTCCCCCTCCAGGGCCCGGCCTCACAAATTTGTCTTGAGTTGTCTTTCCTGCTCCTGGAAAGCATGAGCACTTTGTGGATAGAGCCCTGGGTTGGGGTAGGAGACCCAAACCTTGACTCTGCCGCTGCCTTTGGTCACGGGGTGAGGTTAGGGATGACCCCCACCCACCAGGCTCCTATGAGGGTCTGGAGGGGATCTCTGGATGGGTTGAGCGAGCAGTGGGTCCCAGTCTCGGGGATGGCGTAGTGAGGGGAGTCCAGCCTGCCGGGGTGAGTCAGTCCCATCCCCCTTCCCTCCTGCTTTGCTGGAGACCCCTTGGCAGGAATCCAGCTGGTCCAGGCCCTTCTTCCTGCCTGATTGTGGCGTCTGGTCCCCCTGGGGCATCATGGGGTGGGTACGGGGCCTGCAATGTGCGGGGGCTAGGCGTCTGCGGTGGCCGGGGGGGCGGGGGCTGCCCAGAGAGACCCACATTCCTGGGAAAATGGTTTCACCAGTGGCCGGGCCCTCCAGACCTCCGCCTAGACCTGCGGAACCTGTTGGACCAGAGTAGAGTGGGCGGGCAGGACCTGAAGCCCCCAGAGCTGAGCGCCCTGGTGACGGGTGGGGGCTGGGTTCAGGATGGACTGGCTGTTTCTCCTCCCTCTGCCGAGCTGGCTTCAGGTTAGGCTCTAGGGGTGCCCTCTCCACTCTGAGGTGTCAGGAGTTGCCCCCTCTTCTCCAGTGTTCCCACGAGTGGGGCCGACCTGTCCCGCTCCATCCTCCTGAATCGGAAGTTGGAGGAGTCACCTTCCCTCCAAGCCCAGGCTCGCCCCAGGCTCGAGTCCTGTCCTCTCCCACTTCCCCAGGGTCCCCACCGCACAGAGGGTCCCATCACCCGGCTGGAGCCTTTCTCGCAGCCTATAAACATTGTTCTACCTCGTCCAGAGCCCCTCCCCCCGCCCCTCATGGCTGCGGGTTCTGTGTCTCCATCTCTCCCCGAGGCTGTCTCCTGCACCCACCCCCACCTCTGATTCAGCTCCTGAACTGTCACCAAGAACCTCTTTTTTTTGCTAAACCCAAAGGACCTTTTTAGATCTCGTCTTGACCTTCTTTTTCTTGACCTGAGGCTACCTTTGGAGCCACTGACACGCCAGCCTTCTCGACACACTTCCACCTGCCTTTCTCCACGTTCTTCTGGTTTTCTCCCTCCCCCCTCTGGCCGCTGCTTCTTATTCTCTTCTGCAGGTGCCTCTTCTGCCCCCAGGTGTGGTGCCCATCGCAGGCCCCATCGCCCCGAGCCTGCTCTTCCTCTGCTGTGCTCCAGATGTGAGACGCCTGTTTCTCCATCATTTGTCCATCCTTCCTCTTAAACTTCAGACTCAAATATCCAGCTGCCTCCTGACCTCAACCCCCTGAGGCCCCAAGGACACCTTACACTCACCATGTCCCAAATTGAAGTTCTTATTTTCCCACCGATCCCCCCCCGCACCACCATAGTCAAGTCAGCTGGGCCCAAAGCCCATGCTTGAAAGAGGTGTGACTCCCCCATCCCTCCATATCCACTTACTCTCCCCAAACCTTTGAGTCCTTTTTCACTGCCCCATCTCTCCTCCCCAGGTCCCCATGTGGGACTAGTGAGGTGACTGGCCATCTGGTCGACCCCTTCCATGGCACTATGTCACTGGCTTCTGAAGGATGGTCCTAAAACACAGCTGACAACCTTCAGTTCCTTCTTGTCCAAGGAGTCAAGTCCAAGTTCTCCAGGCTGGCACCTTGGGCTGCATGGTGCTTCTCCAGCCACCAGATCAGAATGCTTTGTGCCTTGTTGTCTATCTGCTTTGGCAGATACTGGTCGCTTCCACTCCTGGTCCCACCTAGCTTACTCTAGACTGGCTCTCAGCTACCCCTGCCTCTGGGAGGCCCTTCCTGGCCCACGGGGCTGGATGAAGTCTGTCTTAGGCGCACACCCTCATGCTGGCTTGATATCATCTGCTCACAGCCCTGGCTCCCCCACCAGACTGATCCCCCCCCCATGGCGGGGTGGACACCTCTTGCACTGGTTGCGGTGATAGCTGAGCCGTCGGGGGCCAAGGATGGGCCTTTGTCATTCTGGGAACCTGGTAGACAAGGGGGCTAGGTAGTCTGGAGTCGTCTAAGGAGTGGTACGGCCACCTCTCAAGCCACTCATCGTGGGCTCTTAGTAGAGCCCCGGATCGGGGTCTGCCTGTGTTCTCCTCTTGCAGGGCAGACCCTACCAGCCTCCCAGATGCTCCGAGCCCTCCAGCCTTCCTCACTGTGACCAGGGCAGAGCCAAGGTTGAGGACAACATCCCTCCTGGCCACACATCTCAGCTGTTTCTCACTGTGTAACCTGGACTGCATACATCCCTCTCTCAGCCCTCAGGTCCCATCTGTAAAATGGGTGTGGTGGCATCTTCCCGGGGGGACAGAAGCAAGTTGGTCTAAGTGGCATGCCCAGAAAAAGGACCTGACGCTTGGCAAGGCTTTGCATAACCTACTCCCTCATCTCCAACAGGGAAACCGACCCAGAGGGGGCACGACCTGACCTGGGTCACCTGGTGGCTGGCGGCACAGCCAGGATGCCAGGTTGCCTGCTGGCTCTTGGTCTTGGCTCTCTCTCTGCATGACACCCCCCACTGCTGTAGCCCAGAGGAGATGGAGGGGCCCCATGGAGCCAATCAGGCCTCTGTGCTCTGGACATCCAGGCAAATCTTGTGACCCTGCAGCGTGAGGGCTCCTGGGCCCATTGTTGGCCCGGAAGGACCTTATGTCGCTGGGTTTGGGCTGCTCCCACACAGGCAGCCCCCGGGACGAGCAAGGGCCAGGCTCTCCGGACCCCAGGCATCTGGTCCAGCCTGGGGGAAGGGGTAGGGCGCCTTGCACACGCTTTCAGAACTCCCAGTCTTGACATTTGTCCCTAGCATTTTGGGGGTCTGGGATGAGCCCCGTGGAGGTGTTTGCCTCCAGGATCCTGGGGGCTCAACTTGTGAGACTGAGTCCTGTGTGACCTTGGCCCATCACTGTACCTTCCTGGGGCTGTCTCTCTCAAAATTGACTGTTGTTTGCCCTGTCAGAACCAGGGGGGTCACAGGGGGTGCGGGCAGCTGGCCCCGGCTGACTAGGCCTCGGTGGTGTTTGTCTCTCTGTAGAGCATGGATCACCATGACGAGGCCGGAGAGTCGGAGATGAGAAGGACCTCAGACTCGTGCATCGTCGAGAACGGGCACCAGCCTGGGGCAGGTAGGGCTGACGGCAGAGGAGAGCGGGCTGGGTAGCTTTGGGGTCAGGGCCTTGGCCGTGCCTCTGGGCCAGGCCACCCCTTGTCAGGGATGGAGGACTTGAGCCTAAACCCCAGCAGGTGGGGAGGCTGCCAGGAGAGCAGCCTCATTCAGTGTGAAGTAGAACTGTGTAAACACAGAAGAAAATGAGAGATCTCAGAAGGTGGTGAGCTTCCCTGTTTCTGGAGGAATGCAAGCAGGGGCTGAGGAATTATCCAAGCACTGAACAGGGTAGAAAGTGGACTGATAGGCGACTATTTATTGAACTGTCTATGAGGGAAAGTTGGAGCAGACGCCAGCTCTGGTTGGAGCAGCGAGACGTCCGCAGCAGGGGGAGGTCAGGGAGGCTGGAGTGGTCAACGAGGCCTTCCTGGAGGAGGTGGGAGGAAGCTTCACAGAGACTGGAGTCCTCCTGGGAGGGCCTGAGGCCCCTGTGGATGCCACGGCTGACATCCCCAACCCTGCTGGTCCCATGTTCCAGGTCCAGGTGATGGACCCCCTGAGACCACCCAAACTGTCCCGGCACCAGAACCCCCCAAGCCTCGCCCTGCGAGCCTCTCCTTGCGGCTGCCTCACCAGCCAGTCACGGCTATCATGCGAGTCTCCGAGAGGTTCTCTGGGGAGACGTCAGCCGCAGCTCTCTCGCCCACGTCTGCCGCCGTCCTGGGGGGCCTCAGCCCCAGCGAGGCCACCACACCCTGGACTCCCAGTCCCACTGGTAGGAACAGGAGGGCATGGCCTCAAACTGGGAGGAAGGGCAGGGGCTGGGGGCAGTTGGCAAGAGACTCAGGAAACCTGGGCAAGCCCCAGCCCCCCTCTGCTGTCACTGCGACCCCCTTCCCTAGCTCATCTGCTCCATCAAATGGGGCTCATCTTTCCCGACTCCTCCCCCCAGAGATGCTGTAAAGTAGCCTCGTCCCCCATGGGAGACGACTGTGGCTTTTACTGCAGGTCGAGGCTGTGGTTAGAAGGTGGCCTCTTACCCTGCACACTGGCGTGGTCCCCGGGGCCTGTCTTGGGCCTGGGGTCAGGCCTCAGTGGTGTGTCCTGGGGTTGGGCTGTGTGGGTTTCCAGAATGAGGGCTCGGGAACAAAGTGTTTGCTGGATACGTAGCACAAGAGGCCCTGGGCTCTGTGCTCTCAAAAGCGGAGCTGGGGGCGGGGGACACTTTAAAAGGCCTCTTTTATGTCATTGCTGTATGTTCCCAGCATCCCTTCTCCTCAACTGTTGGCCGAGGCAGGCCCAGCTTAGCCCAGGGGTCCTGCCCCTGCCCTGAGTGACGCTGGGTAAAGGGCACAGGGCCAGGTCAGAGGAAGGGAGGCTGGCAGTGGTGACCCTCCGCGAGGCCAGGGTTTGTTATTTCTCTCCCTTGCTTTGTCCCGAAGAGAAGAATTCTTCTCTCCCACGGTCTTTATCCAGCTCTGGCTACGGGGCAGTGACGGCCAGCAGGAACAACGGCAGGTGAGTCGGGGCCCCAGTCCCCGGTGCGGGGAGGTCAGCCCTCCCCAGGCAGCGTCTGGACTTTGCCTTGAACTCGGGCTGCCCGGGCCCCTGCAGGGAGCTCCCATGCTGACCCAGGATGAGGCACCCTCCTGGGCTTGGTTCCAAGGGAGAGCAGCGTCAATGGGTGGGGTTTGAGCAGAGGACATGAGGCCGCGGGGCTAGGTGGAGGGTTTTGTTTAGAGAATATATATATATATATAGGGCCTCGGGCTGGTTTCTCTTAGGACCCTTGAAAGGAAGTCTGTGCAAAGATTGGAGGGGGTGTCTCAGTCCCCACAGGCGGATGGAGCGTGGGGCGATCTCCCGCTTTCCTCTCCACCCATCCTGCTTTCCGCCCGCGGCTGAGGACGTCTCTAGGCTGGGGCAGGTCTGCTGCCTCCTGGCCTGTGGTTGTCCCCAAGCTCCCCCAGGCCCACTGGATTGTGATCGGAGCTGGGGATAGAGGCTGGCTTGGCTTTTGTCCCCCCTTTCAGTAATAAAAGGAGAATTGTGGCTTTCTGGAAAACTGTTGAAGGGGAGAAACAAAGGGGGTCTTTTTCGTGGTGGTGAGGAGGGGGCCTGGTCCTGGTGAGGCCGGTTCTGCGAGGAGGATGCCCCCACCCCCACCCCGCTCAGCCCAGGCACGGACACCTGCGAGGGGTGACGATGCTCAGAGAGGGGCCCACTGCCGGCCAGGCCTGCCTCGGACAGCAGCTCAGTTTGGAAAAGCTGCAGAACCGGTTGGGGACCAGAGCAAGTGGTGCTTCCTCCCTGCCTGTAGCCCGGTTGCTGCCTCATTCTACACTCAGTGGGGTGGGGGGCCCGGGGCCCAGGTGACCTAGTGATGGGCGGGTCTGTGTTCCTGACTTCGTGGTTCTCTCCTCAGCCCACCTCTGGTGACGCCACCCGAGTCTCTCCCATCCCCGCAGCCGCCAGCCACGACCCAGGCCCATCGGCAGGGGGAGCGTCGCCGGGAGCTGGTGAGGTCGCAGACGCTGCCCCGCACCTCGGGGGCGCAGGCCCGGAAGGCGTTATTTGAGAAATGGGAGCAGGATACAGCTGGCAAGTACGGATGCTCTCACCCCCCGCCCCCCAGACCAGTCTGGGCCCCCAGAGTAGGCCTGGGCCCAGACTAGGGTCAGGCAGGCACAGCGCGCAAAGCCGGCCCTGTCCTGTTCCCCAGGGGGCAGTTCCCCAAGATGTGACCTCTTGGGCAAGACACAAGGTCAGGGCCAGCTACGGAGCAGGTTGAGGGATAGGTGGCCCCAGCTGTGGGGAGGAGAGGAGCGGGCAGGGGGCCAGGCAAGGCCTGGGGAGAGCCTAGGCCCCCTTCCCCCGGTCCTGGAGGGGCCCCGGCTGCCCTCACACCCACATTCCTCACCCAACTGGAGAAGTTGGTTTCAGGGCGTGACTGGAGAGGCCAGAGGGCAGTCACTGGGATGCCCAGCAGTAGCTGGAGGTGACACGGCGAGACCAGCCCCCTATCACGCCCCACCCCCGCTCCCAGATGGGACCCACCTCTGCACACATTTGTCCAGCGCTCCTGTCCGCTGGTGGTATTGATGCCTGTTGCTTGTGGGATGCGGCCCAGGCATATTTGATGATGACCACCCCCAGTCCCGCTCCCAAGGCTCTGACTCTAGTGAGTCAGAAGGGGCACCCAGGAAGTGTCCCGCTGACCCAGACAACCTGTTCTTGGCCATTAAGGAGTGTCCTTGGGGCCCAGAGGAAGAAACCATTGCTCCAGGCTAGGAAAGAGGGCGGCCCCAGAGGGAGGCTCCGAGGAGGGGTGGGATGAAAGGAAGCGGCACGGGCCATGCGGCCTCAGGTCCTCTGCCCCAGGACTGCCCATGTGGGAAGTAAACAGGGGACCTGGAGGCTGGAAGGGATCTGGTCGGGCCAGACTCCATCAAGGGAGGCTGTGCCCTGGGATGGGGGGCTCATGCCTGGACGTGGGTGTAGGGCTGGGAGGGTTGCATACTACCTGGGTGAGCAGGTGCGGCACGTTCTCGGAGTAGATGGCAGCCGAGGGGCAGCCCCCCAGCCCCCCAGCAGGCCTGGCCTCTCTCTGCAGGGGGAAGGGCG